GAACTTGATGTCCCCAGGTGTCATTGGCAAAGATGCTTGAGACCACCAGATCGTGAAGGTTTTAACACTTGCTATGTGTTCTAGAACATCACTTCACCTGTCCAAGCTTTGGTTCATTTTCTTTTCCTTTTTATTTATTTATTTTTTGGACCTCACCTGGCAGTGCTCAGGGGCTACTTCAGTCTCTGCGCTCAGGGCTCATTCCTGTCAGTGTTTGAGGGGTCTATAGGTAGTACCAGAGATTGAATCTGCCTTTGTTGCATGCAAGGCAAGTACATTAACTCCTACATTATTGAATACTCCAGTCCCAAGCCTTGGTTTTCTTAATCTATAGACTGGAATTAAAAATACTAACTGCTTTCCCGGGTTGCAAAAGGCAACAGAGATTTGCCTTTAAAAAAAAACTCTGACACACTTAATATAGCACTAATATATAATTATTGTTCTGGGAATATTGCATATTGGTTTAATGAAACATCTTTTAGGATTACCACCAGAATTATATCATATTACTACAAATTTAGAATTAACTAGAGTATTCCATAGCCTGAGTCAAATTTCAAGTGTACATATTCAACATTCCCCAAACCATCATTGAGCAGTTTCTCTGTGACAAACATTGAAGACACTACTGAGAGCGACCCGGCAGTCCCCAGGAGCCTGTCTCAAAAGATCAGCAGCAATTACAGAAGAGGAAACGCACCAGGCGCCCTGACGGTCCATGGGAGGAAGTGCCAGAGAAGTGAGGTCTGTGCTAGAGAGAACTCAGTTAGGCTGCCAGGAGGAAGGGCCATCTGAAACTGTGAAAGTAGAACAGAAGGGTGTCCCAGACAGAACTTAGAAACAAACGCTCCTCCTGAGAAGTAAGCAGGTGCCTAGCAACAGAGAAAATTCCGGCAGAATTGGACATGGCTGTTGAGGTAAGCAGACATCAAAGATGAATCATGCCTTATAAATTTCCTCCTCAGTCATACATATTCCTGACAGGTTCTCCAAGACACGTTGAAAGCAAAGGCTTGGCTCACTGCACCTTCCATGATAAAACTTTATCAGGTCAGGGAGTCCCTGCAATGTCAAGAGGACAGATCAAAGATGAAAAATATCACAGCAACATCCATAGATAAGGAAAGCAGCTTTAAAATGTCCTGAACTTTACTGTACAAGTGGGGAGGACCAAAGCTTGGAATTCCCACAAAAATCTTTGCAGGACAAGTTTTCTGAATGTAGAGTCCTCAGAAGAGCCCACCTGGTTGCCAAATATCAAGGTGACCTCCCAAAGGGATACATTTCAGGTTCCTTTTAATGGAGGATGTGGAGCCTGGATTAGAAACAGTTGCCTCTGTGAAAATCCTCAGTGGGGAGAAAGAGTACAGAACAATACATGTAGCTGGGTAAATTAAGGTCTGAGAGGGAAAATTCCTGCTGCTAAAGTGAACCAGAAACGGGTCTCCCTAGAAATAGAGAATATGGCAGCCAATAACGTTCAAGTATCATTTGCTTCCTTTTCAGCTAGGTTGGAAAATTATTGTTCACTCTTGACGTTTTTCTTACCATCACTAGAATGCTTTAGGAATTATAATAGATTCAACTAAAAAAAGTAACAGAGTTGGGGTCAGTGAGATAATTCAAGGTTTGATGCCCTGCACTGCACACCTCATGCACCCAACTGCCAGGTCCACTGGATATGGCCCTAGGGGGCACTATTAAAATCTATCAATAAATAATAGAGAAACCCAATTGTCTATCTTGCCCACAAGTTCTTCTTTCTTAGAAGATTGAACCAAACCTCCAACAAGGTTCACCCTCGTGCCTTCCAAGAGTTTAGGTGCAGGTAAGTTGCTGTATGGACTTGCCAGGACTTGGCTCTGGGTTTCTTACTCTTGGATACTTTAATTGTGGAAGGATAGAGCTGAGCTATAGGAACTAAAGCTGAAGGGATGTATAGAGAAGAGAGAGATTTGAAGCAAAGTAGAAACTTCAAAAGGCCATTAGCAAGCTAATATCATAAGAAATATGTGTCACTAACGAGATGTGTTGCCAAAAGGTTAAAAGAAAAACGAAAGCAAGAAGACAGAAAAAAAAGAGACACTAAGGCAAGGTCCACTGAGTTGAAGGCAGAACACTCTAGAGAAGATGTTGGTGTTTTCAAGAGCAATGTTGGATCAGGTTCCTTTTCCAGTTCCTAAACATGATGATTGGGCATTCACAGGTTTGCGTAACATGTGTCTCCCTTAGATCTTGTTACACATTTGACACATTACCCATCTGACTTTAACTTAAAAAAATGTTGGATCAGAAAATGAATCCCAGGTATCCCAGCCCCCACCTTTTTCCTCTTCAGAGGATGACTCCTTTGTCACATGAGCTCAATAACATCTGGCCTTCCTGAATCAACTGGGAGTGCCTCAGTTCCTGGGAAATGCGGACAAGAGATGGCATCAGGAGAAAGCTGTACACTACTGGGACAAGAAGAGTGTGGGTGTTTTTCACAAAATATTTGCTGCTAATTACTGAATCACAAGAATGGTGCAACATGGCCGTGCCAAAATTGTCTGCATTTTGTAAAGGTGGGTAGGCTGTAGACCCCACCTCCTTGTACAACTGGAACTCCATTGTGCAGAATTCTGATTAATCAGACCAAAGAGGAGGTCACAAGAACTTGAATGGCTGGTGAAGAATCATTTGTGGCAGATTAAGTAAATTCTTTTTTTCTGAGAGTGGTGTGGAAATTCAGAGTCTCTAGAATACATTTCAAAGAACTAACTTTCTTAATATTTGTCCCGATATAAAAATATTTCTTGAAAATAAAGACTTCAAAAAGCTAACACAGCATAAAGGTGGCAATTTGACACTAATATAAGCCTACTTTAATATAAGTCCTTGAACATTTTCTGCTTCAGCTTTAATTTACTCAATGATAATAAGTAATTTTTCCGCCTTCCCAAATTCTTCATGCCAATTTACCACTACTTTATATTAGTAAGAAAACAGAGCAAAGCTTTCTTATGTAGCCTTAGTGAGTTAGCATTTTGCTAAGGGTTTTCCTCTTTCCTCCCCTCCTCTCTCTTCTTTTTTTCTCTTTTTAATATAAAGGAGTTTTTATCAATAGTTTATTTTCAGAAGACAAGAACACTATATATCAACTTTGAACTATCTCCATTCTCCACAAGTTCCCATTTCCCCCAGGGAGGAAGAAGTCACAAGTTGTCTTATTATTTTCAAGTGCTCCATTTTTCTCTCTTCTTCAATGGTATTCCAACTGTGAAATCTTCCAGCGATTCTGAGTTTTGCAAAATTGAAAAATTCCTGCTGGCAGGTAAATGATGAGGGAGTTATAGACACAAAGGAACCTGGACTATCCAAGGTTTTTCTTTTCTTTTTTTATTTTTTGAATATGTGCCATATGTGGTAGAACTCAGGGTTAACTCCTGGAAGTGCTCGAAAGACCATATGGAGTGCTGGGAATTTAACCCAGGTTAGTATGTGCGCAACTTGCTGTATTGTTGTATGCAATTTACCTGCTATCTTGATATCCCAAGGATTTTCTTTTTCTATCTCAGTAGCTTAGAACTTCATGAGGTTGATTTTTACTCACATTTCTTTGTTTCTTTCTTTGGGGGGTGTCATATCCGGCAACACTTAGGGGTTACTCCTGGTGTTGCTCAGTAGAGTCCATGGGATGCCAGGGATTGAACCTGGGCCAGCCACATGCAAGGCAAACTATCCACAGTACTATCATTTAAGCAGTCTCCTGTTCTTTATCTTTTTAAGTCAGTCTCGGGATTTTCAGAGTAACTGTAAGCCCAGCCCCAGAATCATTAGGATGAACCATTATGAATAGGATCTGGGTTTTGGTACAGAAGTCAAAGTGACAAATCAAACATTTGTTGTCATCTACCTGGTTCAGTAAACAAACTTCATGGTATAGTAGCAGAAGAGTTAATATGATGATCAGACTAGATGTTAGCCTCATCATTGAGGAGATCATGGAAATATTATCATTTTCCACAATGAAGATTTTGTCTGGTTGGACTCCAATTAAAAACAAGCACCGTCAACCATAGCACTATTTTCTTACCATATAAGTGAAGCTGGTTCTTACTGAATCCCTGCATGCACAGCCCCAGCAAGGGAGCCTCTGTGACACTAATCACCATTCTGAATCCAAGTATATGTATGTTTTAGAATCTCCATTACAGTGTTTTTCATTCCTACGCATTTCTTTTGAGTTCTTCCTGAATACTTATGTCTCTCTGCTTTTATTTACCATCTGTTTCAACATGCTGCCTTGTAGTATCCATCAGTGCCCCTAAGATCATTGTTTTTAATTTCCAAACTCATTACTTCAAAACAATCTCTGCTGTGCTTACTTCTATTCCCATGCCTGCCTCCTCAAACTGCGTTCTCATGACTTTTATTTTATTGACTTTTATTTGACTTTTATTTTATTTGGCTTTTTTCATATATCTAGACATGATAATTCAGATAGAAGAAACTGCTATACATTTGGAGTGGTAGTGAACCACTGGTGGAGCAGAAGTGTCTTGCCATACTATATTAAACATTGACCAGATTAAGAAATCAATAATTCTTTATGAATCCCAAGTGACAACACCAGGCAACATTTTACTCCAAAGATTGATGATATGGACTTAAACTGGATGTGGGCACCAGTACCAGGTAGGATAAATGAACCATCCATGCAAAATGTTGCATAAATCTGAATGCTGAGAATTCTCCAGGACAACTAGTGCAGGCAAATTGTTCCCCACCTCACTCAACCCTTAAGGGGTGTGTATTTAGGGAATAGGGAACTTTGGTCCACATGCAACTGTATTAGGGCTTACTCCTGATCAGCACCCAGAGATCATTCCTGGAGGTGCTCTAGGAATAAAGCTGGGTTGATGTGCCCGGAAGACCAGTGCTATCCCCTGCACTATCCCTCCAGCCCAGGGGACTGTATTTTATTAATTAATTAATTTATTTATTTTTCTTCTTAAGTTTATCTAGGTAATATGCCAAGTGTGTAACAAGATTTAGTGGAGGCACACATCATACAAATGTGTGTACACCCAATTGTCATGCTTATGAAAGGAGAAAGGGTCCCAAATGACAGTATTTAATGACATACACTGTCACTGTCCTCTCGTTGTTCATTGATTTGCTCAAGTGGGCCCAGTAAAGTCTCCATTTTGAGACTTCTTCTTACTGTGTTTGGCATATCAAATATGACATGGATACCTTGCCAGGCTTTGCCGAGCAGGCGTGATACTCTTGGTAGCTTGCCGGGCTCTCCGAGAGGGACAGAGGAATTGAACCCGGGTCGGTTGAGTCGGCCACATGCAAGGCAAATGCCCTACCGTTGTGCTATCGCTCCAGCCCCTAGGGCTATAAATTGCAAACATGTTCTTCAGTTCTGCTTTTCTCTCCTTGGATGGGGTAAGATGGCTACAGTGCCGTGGAGCTGGTTATTCCCCTTGACCATTTCCACTGAGTTCTGATAATAACTGGAGAGTTTAGGTAAACCTTATTTGTTGTTCCTGAGGGCAGAACTTGTAAGAAATAGCAGGTGCTGGAGATTTTCCAAAATGATTGTTTTTCTTCTTGTCTTCCTGTAAGGAGGCAGGAATTTTTCTCCCATATTCACTGCGAAAAGCTTGGTCTAGCTCCTGGAGGAAAATTTCATTGAAAAAGGGTTGAGTGGAGTGGGGAACAATTTGCCTGCACTGGTTGTCCTGGAGAATTCTCAGCATTCAGATTTATGTAGCATTCTGCATGGACTGTTCATTTTTCCTACCTGGCACTGGTGCCCACATCCAGTTTAAATCCTTATCATCAAACTTTGGAGTAAAACATTGCCTGGTGTTGTCACTTGGGATTCATAAAGAATTATTGATTCCTCAATCTGAACAATGTCTGAATTGTAAGGATGGAGTAGCCATTCCCAATCTTCTTACATTGTAAAACTGGAAACAGAAAGTTCCTAAAAAGTTTAAAATCAATTTTGACTGCCATTGCCCTATGAAACTAGACATTGAATGGTTTTAGCAGCATTCTTATTCTGTTACCTGATAGTATGCTCTGAATATAAGAGACAGCATCACCAAAATCAAAGACCTCACAGAAATTTTTTAAAAAAATTGAAAGTAAGGCCATGTACCTAAAAATGACTCTTCTGAAAGTGTCCATGTAACTTCCCTGGCAGAGTTGCAATCCTCAGGTGAATTAGATGGATGCTTATTTTTGTGCTCTGTTCTTAATGATGTAAAACTGATTCTGAGAAGAGGAGATTCCTAGAAGAACAATGTTTGCGGTAGAACTGCAGAGTTAGTACAGAGGTAAAGACACTTGCCTTATACCCCAGATCTTCATAGGGTCCCCTGAGCACCCCAGAAGGAATCCTGTGTAAAGAGCCAAGAGTAATCCCTGAGCACAGTTGGATATGAGCCCTTGAAGATCAACAACAATAAAAGAATATGTTTGAGAAATGTAGGTAAGAGCCAGGTAAATTTTTTATTTCTGAATGGGATTAGTGGCAGGAGGAGATGAGGTACTTGGGAACATTATTTCATTTGGTGATTTTGTTAATAATTTATGGTATGTACTAAGAATAAGTTTAAACATCATCTCTGAGAGTATCCAATCTAAGTCCCTGCCCTGAAGAAGTAAAATGGGAAAAATACCCTTCCCTAAGGACCTGAAGAAATACACTGAAATAAACCCATGGGGAAAAAATGGGGAGAGGCAATAAACAGACACTTCTTTGAAGAAAACATATAGACAACCAATAGGTATATGGGAAGTGCTCAGCATCATTTCATCAAGAAATGCAAATTCAAATGACAGAGATCCTACATCTTCTGTGTGAGGAATCATGTCCTATGTCAAAAGAACTGGAAACAACCTGTGTCAACAGAAGTACAAGGAAGTCAATAGGAATGCTCTCTACTGCAGCATCTATGGGAAATGATGTGGAGATTTCTCAGAAAGTTAAAAATATAATTGTGGCTGTTAGAAAAGATGAAGTTATGAAATTTACATACAAGGGTACTACATGGAAAGTATCATGTTAAGCGAAATGAGTCAGAAAGAGCGGGATAGACACAGAAAGATTGCATTCATCTGGGGAACATAAAGTAACAAAAAGGGAGAGTGACACACAGGAATGGCTGAGATTAGTACCAGGAATTTTGCTCCATGAATGGAAGGCCAGCCACAGACTCTAGGTGAAAAGGAAGCTCAGATAGAGAAGAGAGTACCAAATGAAGGGTGTTGTGAGGGCCCTCCCAGGGTGGGAGAAGCATGCTGAAGGTAGTCGATAGACCAAACATGATTGCCACTCAAAGCCTCTCTTGCAAAACACAGTACCCAAAAGAAGAGAGAGAGAACAGGGGGGAATACCCTGCCACAGAGGCAGGATGGGATGGGGGGGGGGATGAGGGTGGGGGGATGCTGGGACCCATGGGGATGGATGACGGGCACTGGTGGAGGGATGGGGATTTGATCATTGTATAACTGAAACCCAAGCACAAAATTTGTAAGCCTATAACTGTACCTCATGGTTTTTCACTAATAAAAAAAGAAAAAAATATATAATTGTGATGTGACCCACTGGTTCCACTCCTTGGCGTCTATCCCAGGAACACAAAAACATTAACCTGAAAAGACATATGCACACCTATGTTCATTGCCATGTTATTTGCAATAGGCGAAATATGACAAAACAATGCCTGATACAGATGAGTAGATAAGCTGCGATAGATGCATAGATAATGCATAGCTTTGAGAAAAGATGGCTTTTGTTACAACATTTTTTTCTATACTTTTTGTTGCTGTGGTTACTGGAGGTTTGTAGGTCAATACTTTGTAGTGCTTGAGTACTGCTACCAACTCTGTGCTTGGGTACTGAACCCAGTGGTGTCAGGGATTGAATCCAGGTCTTCTGTATTCAAAGCATGTGCTCAGTCCTCTGAGCCATCTCTACAGCATTCTGCTACAACTTTAATGGAGTTAGAAGGGCTCACGCTAAGTTGTTAGGTGAAATAACTCAGAAAGATGACAATATCAGATGATCTCACAAATCTGTGATGTATAGAAATACAAAGTAAGAAAAAGAATACTGTCTAATGATAATATACCCTTGGACTTTGAGTTCAGAATTGAGGTGACCAATCCTGGGGTAGAGCATGGCCAGAGAGAAAGGAGTACCGGAAGCAACAGAAGGAAGCGTGGATGGTCTTGGGCATATTGGTGCTGCTGGATAGGTGTTAACTTTGCGCATCATAAACATAAATGTTAATACTATTATAACTTCAACTACACTAAAACATTTCGGGGGGCTAGAGTGATAGTACAGCTGGTATGGTATGTACCTTTTTGCCTAGCATGTGGCTGACCCAGATTCAATCCCTGACATCCTGTATGGTTCCCCAAGCATTACAAGGAGTAGTTTCTGAGTGTACAGACAGGAGTAACCCCTAAGCATCATTGGGTATGACTAAAAAAGAAAAAAAATAAAAATTAAAAAATAAAACACTTGCTGGGATTTAGTAATATTAAAATAGAAATAACAGTGATATGGCAGCAATAACATATAAAAGAAACAGAAGAAAAAGACAGAACAGGTATTGTCAACACAGTATTAGTTAATACCAGCACACACACACACATACACACACACCACGTGCACGTACACCTCTTTTAAATATAGAAAGTATGATACAATTCCCATACTAGCTGGAAAACAGTAGTCTGGAACAGAAAAATGGGCTTGGGGGAAATAAGGAAGTGTAGAGAATCACCAGAACAAAATATCTGCATGAAGAAACAAACAAAATGGGTGGGGTGGGGGCAGAAATGCAAAACAATGAGACAATAAAAGATAATGGGGCAGTGGACTGGAGATACACTAGAGAGGGCAAGGCCCTCACCTTGCACACGTCTGACCAGATTCTATCCCCAGCTTCCCATATGGTCCCTGAGCACCACCAGGAGTAATTGCTGATGGCAGAACTAGAAGTAATTCCTGAGCATTTCCTGCTGTGACCCAAAAGGTAAAAAAAAAATTAATTTTAATAAAATATGCAGCAAGTGAGTCCCATTTATCAATAACTACCCTAAATACAAATGCTATGAATTTACCAATCTAATGATACAGATTGGCTGGATGAATGAAAACTAGGACCCATGTAACATATATATATATGTATATATATATATATGCCTCACATTTGATATATGTAAAAACAATCACAGTGAAAGATTGGAGCAAAATATTATAAGAAAATAAGAAAAAAGGGAGAAAAGGAGGAGACTGCTATTTTTTAAATTTTTATTTTCTTATTAAATCATCATGAGATACAGTTACAAAGCTTTCATGTTTGAGTTTCAGACATACAATGAAAATGTTCAAATGATCAAATGATCAAAAATGATCAAACACCCATCCCTCCACCAGTGTACATTTTCCACCACCAAATGTCCTGAGTATCCCTCCCCAATCCCATCCTGCCCCTTCCCCCACCTCTATGGCAGATAGTTTCCCTCTTATTTTCTCTCTACTTTTAGGCATTACAGTTTGCAATACAGATACTGAGAAGCCATCATGTTTGGTCTTTTATCTACCCCATCAAAAATGGGGAGAAGAAATGAACAGAAACTTCCTTAAAAAGAAATACAAATGACCAAAAGATGTATAAAAAAATGTTCTACATCACTAATCATCAGGGAGATGCAAATCAAAACAATAATGAGATATCATCTCACACCAGAGAGATTGGCACACATCCAAAAGAACAAAAACAACCGGTGTTTGTTGATGAGGATGTGGGGAGAAAGGGACTCTCATTGTTGGTAGGAATGCTGACTGGTCCTGCCTTTCTGGAAAACAATATGAACATTCCTTCAAAAGCTAGAAATTGAGCTTTCATATGACCCAACAATACCACTTCTGGGACTATATCCTGGAGGTGCAAAAAAAGCACAGAAGAAAAGACATCTGCACTTGTATGGTCATTGCAGCACTGTTCACAATAGCCAGAATCTGGAAACAATCTGAGTGACTGAGAACAGATGGCTGGTTACAAAAACTGGTACATCTACACA